TCAATGCAGCTTAAGAAAGGAAGCACCCCAATATTCAAAGAATCATGAATGTTTAGCAGGTTGCTACTAAGTACACGCACTTGATAAATACTGGTGCTATTAAAGCAAATTAAACTACTTGGTAGCATATGCCATGGAAAGTGCCTACTTATCCCTGATGAAAACTCAGCTGACAGACAGCACCCTATGCAGGTACACATATGGTAGTATTAATACTTAATAAAACCAACCTGGTGATATAATAACTAGCAGAATTAGTCCATACAAGTGGAATCTGGCATTTGAACATAATAAAAAAACAATTACAAATAAATACTCCCACAGCACGTTTAAAAGGAGCATCTTTTTACATATCTACTTACCTCGTTAGATCATGATCCTTCCTCATTCGATCATTTAGCTTCACCCATAGATCAAAAATATGCTTGACACTGGAAGTTAATCCAGAGTCTATCCAAAATGAGTGAGCCTTACTCCTAACATCATGTAGGCACCATAGTGGTAAGTAACAAAGATGCGTAGATAAAACCAAGGCTTCTCAGTCCACATGTTGGTTAGTGCTGGAGTAGAGTCACATAAAGAGGATTTGGGATTCCTTACCGAACAGTTCAACAACTGCTTTTAGAATATTTATTGGTATAATAGATTACCAAGTATCATATTAGTGTCCTTCCATTTTTTTCCAGGCAAAGAGTAGGTAATGATTGCAGTTCCCTCAAATAGCCATTTTAAAAAAAAAAAATCCACTAGTGTCCTCTGTGCTAGTAATGTCAAATAACCAGATTTTTTTGACCATGATGATGTTGTCATAAAACACATAAATTTACAATTAGGTCCAAGGTTATCCTTTTCATTTCAAAATGTCACGATCAGCAGGTCATTCCTTTATGACATTTACTGTGCAACAGAAATTCTTATCCAATGTTAACCAATTTGTTCTCAGAGAGGATAATACCTTCTGAATAAAAAGTTAATTTATTATCTGCGAACAATGATTTCTGAAAGCTATCAGAGAGAGAGAGAGACTTCACAGAGGCCTACGGTTCCATTAATGGCAGTCTCCCCCTTAGCTGCACAGAATTACGCAAACAAATTGTTTAGGCTTGCTTTTTTTCAGCATTTTATGTGAACTGTAATACTGTTTGGATTCTAAAGACCTGAGGTAAACAAAAAGTGTTTAGAGCAAACAAAACTAAGCCTATCAGCCACACAAATACTATTTTCTAATAAATATGAGAAAATTACTTTAGCACATTCTGAAATGCAACTTTATTAAACATGAAATTTGTGTACTATACAGCCAAGTTACAGTCAAGGGAAAGAAGATGCATACATAACTGGAGTGCTAAGCTACATGCAATCTCTTGTGTTTCAGAAAGACAACCTCTTAATGCTCAAGTATCGTAGAATCATAGAAATACAGGTCTCGAAGGGACCCAGTAAGTCATCAAATCTAACCCTCTGCTCAGAGGCAGGATCAAGTAAACCTAGACCATTCCTGACAGGTGTATGTCCAATCTGTTCTTAAAAACCTCCAGTGATGGCAATCCCACAACCTCCCTGGGAACACCTGGAGTCCCCTGGAGCTCTGCAGACTATGTTTAAGATTTCCCGAAAGGGTCCACACCTCCATTCAATTTTTTTTATGGGTCCACAAATGAAAAAGGTTGAAAACCACTGATCTAACCAAAATCTCCCTTGCTCCAGATTAAGTAAGGGTTTCGTCAGGTATGTTAGCAACAAGAAGTCAAGGAAAAATCATGGAGCAGGTCCTCAAGGAATCAATTCTGAAGCACTTAGAGGAGAGGAAAGTGATCAGGAACAGTCAGCATGGATTCACCAAGGGCAAGTCATGCCTGACTAACCTAATTGCCTTCTATGATGAGATAACTGGCTCTATGGATGA